GGCTGGTATCATCTAGGTGTGTAAATACGTCAAAAAAAAAAAAAAAAAATATTATACATATATATATATATAGTATTTTTCCTCCAACAATCTGTGCAACAAGCTTGTCCGACGCTGATTACACACGTATTACTCGAAGCGAAGACAAAATCGTTAACAGACTTTTTTTGTTTTATTGTCTTTATCGTAACGCACACACGTTGAAAAATACACAGAACGGTAGCGCGGCAGAATATAATAATGAAAGAGAAAAAACAAGTCGCGAGAGCGCAATATATCGGCAAATGAAGAGTCAATTTGACGGGAGAAACATCATGTTTCGCGCGCGCCCTTCGATAGGTATCATCCACTCTTTCTCTCTCTCTCTCTCTCTCGTTTTCGTTCCCGATATCTTGTGATATATCCCGTTCGGACACGATGGGAAATACGTACGAAAACGCCGCGACAGGCCACACGAGATCCCGGCAATATCAATTTCGCGCGATGATTGATATCTGATGGCTTTTTCTGGATGGTTGTAACGCGCGCGCGACGTGACGAATTCACGCAACGGTGTATGCGCGGAGCCACCACACCTCCGCGTAACACACAATTCAATGTACCGGGCTTAGATTCTATCGGAAAGATCGGGGGGATGAAAACCCTCGGCGAGTAAACGAGAAATGTGAAATACGAGAACGCGAATCGCGGATAAATCCGCCTCGACAAGCCCCCGGGATGAGAGGAGGCCGCGCCTAAACGCGCGGGAAAAATACGAACCCACCCTTCTCTCGGTTGTAACACGAGACAATTTTTCTTCTTTCCCTCTGTCTCTTTTTTATTTTTCTTTTTTTTTTTTTTTTTTGTTTAAAGCTACACAAATTGTTTCTCGGTGCCTTCCAAACAAGAAAAAAAGTGTCCACTCGCGCGCGTTCTTCGAGCGCAAACACTAAAATTGTTAAAAGTACAAAAGAGTTATGTATTTTTGCGCTGTAAACTTCTTTGTTTTTCTCACGCACAATAGTTGTGTGTGCTGACGCGTATTATTCTCTGTCCGAAAAGGGGGGAAAAGAGGAGCGACAAAGGTTACAACACAGAAAAAACGGGACAAAGCGCAAATAAAAAAAAAAAAAAAAAGAAAAACAAACAAAAGCCATTTGTGTAGATTCAGGCAATTCGTGTAAAAGTTTGTTCTTTGCAAAAAGCCCGAAGGCGAACACTCACCTCTCGTCGTGCAGTCGCTTCAGATCGGTCATCTCGCGCTCGAACTTGAATTTTGACACTTCGCAGAGCAGGGCGTCCCGCTCGCCGACGACCTCGGCGAGCTCCCGCTGCAACCTCTCGATCTCGGCATACTGGCGGCTGATGAGCTGATTCTTCTCCTCGAGGATGCTCTCGACGTCGGATTCCAGAAGAGCCGCCGCCACCGCCGACGCTGTCGTTTCGCCGACACTGCCGCCGAGGATCGCGCTCATGTCGCGCGTTTGTTTACTTTCACCGCGAAACGCCGTTCTCCGTATGTACGCGTCCGTGCCTTGCGTCCGTTTCGCGCACACCTTCGAAAAACGTCAAAACGAACGAACCTCGCTATTTCAACCCACGTCGTCGCGGAGACGTACCGCCGTAGATTGCCGAGAATTGTCGTCGTCGTCGTCGCGCATCAACTTATCTCGCGCGAGATAAGTTCGTCTTCACGACGCGCCACGAGTCCGCGCTCACGAGAGACCGCCAGCATATCAACGATTCAACTGTGGATGTTGCTATATCTCGCGAGACAGCGCCGACGAGGCACGCACGTCGCGACAACCCCTCATCTCGCATTCGCCATATTGCGAGCAGTGATCCGAGACAGTGTTGTCAGATCTCGAGCCGTTTTTCCCCGGGCATGCGCGCGCGACCTCGCGCGGTGTCAGAGGCGGTACGCGCACACACCTGCGTGGTGATGTTTCTTACCTCCTGCCGCGTTTCGATATTCACTTGCCAGTCATTGGAAATCTATAGCACATGTGACATGAAGTATAGAGTTTTTAATACTGGCAGCAACCATTAATGCAGTCTCTGTTTACAAATAAATCGCGAATTGTAGCGATCAAATGTCGCTGATCTGGTGACGAAGCTGTGCCCTGATTGGCTGCAGGACAAGCTGCTTCGTAGCAATCGAACGTGATTGGCTCTTGCTTTTCAATAATCAACCAATCATCGTCGAATGTCGACAAGACAACACTCAGCAATTGTTTTGTTGAACGCGACTATTGGTCGAGACCAATGGACCAATCTTGACATAAGCGGAGAGAAGAATGAGAACGGCCAGGCCCATAAAAGTTTTTACGATCGCTTTTCCGTCCCGTAGGCTAGCGTATTTTATTATATAATGTATAAAAACTTGTACATTTATGTTGTGTGGAAAGTTGCAATGTTTTTTCTTATTCTTTTCTGTTCTCTTTTCTCATCTTCTCATCACGAGACCGGTCATTTTATATAAAAATTCCAAAAGAAATCAAATCCACGCTCGCGAATATCAAGAGGCACGGCAGTTCGCGCCAAGTTCACGCGCAACGAAGTGGCGCTCGAACTGCGCGAGCACACCGTGCCTATTATACGCGAAAATCAGGCATTTCAGTGAAAGGGAGATATCAACCATTTTTTTAATACTAGCACAACACATGCACGCGCTACGCGCACGCTATTGTTATTTTTATTTAACGTGTTATCAGTGAACACAACCTGTTACCGCGATGACAGATAGTATATACGTCTTATAAACCATATCTAATACACATATGAGAAATTTCAGAAATAACGCATAAAAATCAAACTCAAAAAATAGTGAGAGAGAGAGAAGTGGATAAACAACACGTAACTAAAGTCACGTGATAGGGAAAAGGGTAAAAAAAAGAATATTATATATATTATATGTAATATTCTATATATAATACACACATACGCATATATGTATATATATATATATACATATATACCGTAATCACGTGACCGAAGTCAGTAACACGCCGCGGTCGCGCGGCCGAGGTCAGTGACCCCCCCCGCCAAGGCCGCGCGCCGAGGTCAGTGCCCCGTCAAGGCCGCGCGGCCGAGGTCAATGACCCCGCCAAGGCCGCGCGGCCGAGGTCAATGACATTACTCTGTAGTATGTATATAATACATATAATACAATATAAAGTATAATATTATAAATATATAATAAATTATATGTATAATATGTATTATTTAATGTTATATATAATATAAATTACAGTCACGTTATTTTTACGTGTTGTTTTTCTACTCTTTCCTGTCACGTGACTTTAGTTACGTTTTTAATTTTCTCTATATATACGACGAAAAGACTGTCTCAAAATCGCTTTTATTATTTACTCTTTCGATCTTACCAATTCGATTCGACTCGATCAATCAACCAACCAATCGGCAACGCGGAAAAGAGGCAACAAGATGCGATATATTCGACTCCAAACGCGCACTTCTTGGTACACATGTCTTTTTTAATATAAGGAAGAACGAATAAACCGATCGACTTTTTTCAGTCTCGTTTGATTCGATTTTGAAAAAAAATGAAGAAAAAAGTATTCTTATTTCTGTTGTGAGGATGTGTGTATGTGTGCGCGCGCGTGTATTTATACGATCTCAGTGCTGTAATTGGTTCCGCCATTTTGAGGGTCTTGCGAGTTGAACCAATAACAACAGATATACGATGAGTGGCCACACTGCAAATCCAAGTGTGTTAATTTAACACACTTGACGTGTGTTTTTATTGAAGTCACTTTTAATATGTTTCTTAGTGTTTAAAATTCGAACACGCTTAATACGTGTTGATTTAACTCACTAAATTAACACGTTTTAAATGTATAATTTGTTGCGTGTAATAAACGACATATTATCGTATAAAAGTTTGGAAGCTCTACGTTTTCATAGGAGAACAGAATAATAATATTTATGTTCAAAAAAGCTGCAATATGAAAAACTTAGATGACTATGGTATAATAAAGTTTGTCATAGTGCAGTATTCTTTAAAAATATTAAAACATTATTATTTTGTTCTCCTAAGAAAACGTCGAGCTTCCAAACTTTTATCACCTGGTTCAGTATGTAATATTTTGAAGTTCATGTTATACGTGTCATTGATTTGTCTCTCTTGAGAAACATCAGAAATAAAACCAGTAGATGGTGATGATTCGAGTACGAGGCTTGATGGTTTTTCATACAAAAAAAGTACGTTAACCTCACTTTTGTCTTCAATTTCATCATTTTCTTCAATATCACATAATTTATTATTTCGATCGGCATCAAACTTTTGTAAAATGATTTCTTTGTTGTTGATCATTGATTGTAAATAACACTACATCGTTATTGCTGGCTTCTATTAAAGTTGCACGTACAATTTGAGCGTCAGAGATATATTTTTTAGATGAAAACGTGAATGCGTTTACAACGTTCACCGATTAAACAGTACACTTTCTTCTTCATATTAAATAAAAAATATATTAAATTTTCACAAATCACATTAAACATATATTGCACGTCAGCACACTTCTTTCCGCCGCGCTGTACTTGTCCTAACATATCTCTGTACTCTGGAAGGAGCGAGAAAGAAAGATTGATGCGCGCGCAACTTTCTACGCAGAGACAACGACAATTTTGATGTGTATTTTTTGAAGTGTTTTAATTTTGAAACGTTTATCTGTTCAAACGTGTAAAAGGAGAAATATGTTTTATTTTAACATGTCTAAAACTTATATGTTTTATTTTATTACACATTTTAGATGTTTACGCATTTTAACACACATGCGATCTGCATAAAATTATCATATTACACACTTATGTGTGTTTAAATAACACGGATAAGCGTGTAATCTTAAAATTACACAGAAAAAATGTGTTAAAGTAACACACATGGATTTGCAGTGCAGGCTCTATGTTCTAGGGACTTTAGGCTCGATTTTTCATCACTGCTCTCTGGTGAAGTATAGAGAGTTAAGCATTTAAATGACGTATGGACTAACTTAATTCGGTTCACTGAGCCATTTTTGCATCGAACCAGAGTTTAGCATTTGTTCGGAGACAATTTATAACCTCAAAGTTGTGTGAAATTGACTGCTCGTGTTCGGGCAACGCGAAACACGTGTTCGGTTTGGTTGCTTCAGTCTTCTGTCTGAAAGTAGAAAAATGGCTTTATACAATTTCAAGAAGATTGTGGTAGTCCCAACCGCAAAGGTTAGTTAACGATCTAATGTGTTTGTTTTACATTATATAATTGCTTTTATATTTTATTTATTTGGAACACTGAGTAATATATTGCATTCGTCTAATTTTCGTAGGACTTTATCGATATAATATTATCGAAAACACAACGCAAAACTCCGACAGTTATTCACAAGCAATACAAGATCACCCGAATACGTAGCTTTTACATTCGAAAAGTAAAATTCACCCAACAAAATTTTCACGATAAGTTATCTCAAATCATACAAGAGTTTCCAAAGCTGGACGACATTCATCCGTTTTATGCGGATTTGATGAACATCTTATACGACAAGGATCATTACAAGTTGGCTCTTGGACAAATAAATACCGCCAGACACTTAATCGACAAGTAAGAAGCACATGATGTATCATAACGTATGCGCAAACTGTATCGTGCAAGAAACATTTTGTTATTTCTAGTGTGGGAAAAGATTATACTCGTTTACTGAAGTACGGAGATTCTTTGTATCGTTGTAAACAATTAAAGAAGGCTGCTTTAGGTCGAATGGCCACCATTATGAAGAGGCAAGCAGCTAATTTGACGTATTTGGAGCAAGTGCGCCAACACTTGGCTCGATTGCCAAGTATAGATCCCTACACACGTACAATCATTATATGCGGTTTTCCTAATGTTGGTAAAAGCAGTTTTATCAATAAAGTAAGTCTCTCTTACTGTTGTGAGATTATTTGCTCAAATTGTGAATTATATCATAATGTTTTCTCTATAAACTATGAATTTATAGATCACTCGAGCTGATGTAGAGGTTCAACCTTATGCATTTACAACGAAGTCTCTGTATGTTGGACATACAGACTATAAATATTTGAGGTGGCAAGTAATTGATACACCTGGAATATTGGATCATCCATTGGAAGAGAGAAATATCATAGAAATGCAAGCGGTAACGGCTCTTGCTCACTTGCGGGCTGCTGTGCTCTATTTCTGCGACTTGTCAGAGCAGTGCGGTCACACCTTGGAGGAGCAGGTAAAACGTGAAACATGTACAATACACACAGTTCAAAATGACAATGCAAAAGCAAGTGTTACATTAATAAAAACACAATTTGTGTTCACAGATGAAGTTATACGACTCCATAAAGCCTTTGTTTAAGAACAAGCCCTTGATAATCGTTCTGAACAAAGTGGATATCATAAGTTTGAACGAATTGTCTCCTGAAAAAAGAGCTGTTCTGAAGCCACTCGAGGACGATACGAATACGCCGGTGATGGAAATGAGCGCCGTTACCGATACCGGAGTAATGGAAGTAAAAATAGAGGCTTGCGAGCGACTCCTGACTCTCAGAGTCGAACAGAAGTTTAAAACTAAAAAGGTATCTTTTTTCTCTGTCTGTTTTTTTTCTTTTTTATATTGAAAAATTAAATGTACTCGCAACGCAAAAAACTTTGCAAACAATTACAGGTGGAAACGATTCTTAACCGATTGCACATTGCCGAGCCAAAGGTGGTCGATCCGAATCGCGTTCCTTGCATACCTGAGAGCGTCTTAAAAAAGAAACAGATGGCTGCGGAGAAGGCTGAGAGAAAACGCAAATTAGAGAGAGAAATAGAAGAAGAGATGGGAGACGATTATGTGCTCGATCTGAAGAAGAATTACGACATCGAGGGAGACCAGAAATATGATATCATACCAGAAATATGGCAGGGTCATAACATAGCGGATTACATAGATCCAGAAATATTCGAGGTCGGTGCGAATTTCCTTGTTGACGGAACGTGCGACATTGTACTGTGGAAAAACATGTGATTTTTTTTTTAATTTCATTATTCTTTTGTTTTTCAGAAACTGAGTAAATTGGAACAGGAGGAGCAGTTGAGAGAAGAAAGCGGAATGTACGTGTACAATCCGCCCGAGATGACGCAGATGATGCGTGACATCGCGCAGTTGGCAAAACAGATTCGCGAGAAGAAGATTATCATGAGAGACGAGGCGAGAATAACGAAGGCATCAACTAAGCCGATAATACCGCGTACATCCGGCGCCAAGGTCCGTGACAGATCGGTCGCGAAGTTGAAAAGAGAGATGGAAGATTTGGGTGTAGATATGGAAAACACTGAAAATGTGAGTCTTGTACAATCTGCTTGGAATATCTAATTCGCTTTTTTTTTTTAGCGGAAACAGCTCAGCTCTTTATTTGAGTTATTCATTGTATGGTGAAATTGTAGGCACACTTCAAGCGAACGAGAGGACGGTCCAGATCCCGCTCGGAACCTGCGAAGAAACGCATGCGCGTGGAATTGGCGTCGCAATCGCGCGCCCGTAGTGTCTCGAAACCACCACGTGACGAAATGGGTGTTAAGGATGGAACGGTGAGTCAGAGAGAAGATCATTTTATTTTTAGAAGACAAGTTTCTCTCGTAATTCTCTTAAAGAGTCAAACGGAAGAAGAGTATTGTCATTGTTTTGTTTGCAGATGAAAACGAAACTGAAGAACATAGCGCACAATGCGCTCAAGAAGAAGATAGCCAAGAAAGGTCTCAAGGGTGAAGCTGATCGTTTCATCGGCAACAAAATGCCGAAACATTTGTTCTCTGGCAAACGTGGTATCGGAAAAACGAGTAGAAGATAAAAACACCTTCGCACATCTTATTGTTACTTTGTACTTGTTGAAAAAGAGTAAACTTGTAAAAATTGTGCTTCAGATTGATTTGAAAAAAAAAAAAAAAAGAAAAAAAATCGTCGAATAATCTTGCTCTGATTACTTCGCAATCCGAGATTTATAAGTACGAGTTATGAATAAAACTCAAAGAGAAAGAGATTGTAATTGTAGCCGTGTTGCTATATTTATTAAATGAGAAGGCAAAGATCGCTGTTGTGATCGCATGTTTTTTTTTTTTTTTTTTGATTGAGTATTTCTGATTCGAAAGTAGTATTTTATATTTTTGTGGCGTGGCGTGAATGCGCGTGGTTGCATAATGCACGCAAGGTAACCTTCGAACTCGAATAGGGTAAGCAGCGGCATCACGCTTAATGAAACTTTATTACTGTCGTGGCGAGATAACCTCTTGTCACGATAGTAGATTTCAGATCTCGACCCGACTCGGGTATTGATTTTCTGACTGTACCAATTCAATTTTAGAGCATTATTCTCGCGTTTCTCCACAAGCTTAAGCCACATACAAAAACAAAGAATAAAAAAGTTTTAAGTTCTAAACTGCGGGCTGCGGTTCGGAGAGAGCGCGCTTTATCAGCGCTATTGCATCACTCTATCGGTCGTTAGATATAAAACAAAGATAGAAAATGACACAATGACGCGCCCGATAGCGGCGCTTCTCGAGCGCAGCTCATATATTTTACACTGCATATGAAAGATTTGTGTGCGTGCTCACAATGCGCATTGTGTGTATGTAAAAATTAAAAGAGGAAATTTAAGTTACCTTCACATGTCAGTCGAAAAACAAATAATTTTTTAATTTTTCGCGTGAGATTTTTTTAAAGTCGGAGACTTTATCTCAATATATCAACGCAAAAAAAAAAAAAAGAAAAAACCAATAGGAGAGAAAATAAACGTAAACGTGCTTAAGCCGTTATTTGAAAATTGATAGATCATGTATTTAAGACCTCGCTATAAATAGACTTCCAACATCAGATATTTTATTGACAATCGATTAAGAGAGATAGGAATAATAACGATGAATACAACGGGGCACGCGCCGCCCGTGATTAATTAGATCATTACAATTTACAATAAGTGCATTATTACCGATAGAACGTCGCCTCGTACATCGATCTTGACGTGTAAATATAAGTGTGGGTTTTTTTTTATTTTTTTTATTTTTCATTTTTAATCAATCTTACTATCTGCACTTGCTGAGATAAATACGATTACACATTATTACACTTTGTAGTTAAAACATGAATACGTTATATTAGGATAGAGCTGGAGCTTTCAAGTGCTCACGCATGCATATAGAAATGCGGCGACCGGCCTTCGACTGGCGTGTGTGTGTGTGTGTGTATGTATGTTGTGTATGTGTGCGCGTCTGTGTGTGTGTTAACAGTTTTCGTAGAAAACGCAAAATTGGAACTTTTACAAGAACGTAATGTACATACATTCGCCACCGAGAGATTTACAAACCGCTGCTCGAGATTCTAAACCGTAATACTCTATAGGAACTAATAAAACTCTTGATATAAAACAGATTCAGCGGAGAGCGAAGACGACTGATGATTATGACGTCGGGTATCGTCGGGGTGTGTAAAAGAACGCAGAGCGTTTTTTTTTTTTTTTTCACTCGCGACCCGCTTGTTTCGCAAAATCGCCTACCGCGTGATAATTGTAATAAATTAATAATTAGAAGATATGTGTGCGCGCGCGCGCTCTATGTAGATGTACATAATTATATATGGCTTTTATTTTTTTTTTTTTAACCAAAAAAGAAAAATTTGAAAATTAATAGCAAAATGTCCTACTGATATATAAAATGCGATCGCTACGTAATAAGGAATATAATGACAAGTAAATATCGTTAGTATCACAGTCAATAATATGCGCGAGACCCCCCCCCCCCAAGCGAGGGTCTGAGTGTTCGGTGATGCCTCCGTGATGCGTACGTGTGTGCGGTACATTCGTATGAATCTAAAACAGAAGGAGAGAAAAAGAAACAAACAAATTCGAAGGATCGCAGCAACGAAGAAGAATCTTGGGATCGCTCGCGGACGACGATAGTCGTCCTGTTATTATATATATATATTTTTTTTGTTTTTTTTTCTATTGAATAACAATATCTATTAGCATTATTATTATTATTATTGTTAGCGCTTCTAATCCGATAACTGTGCGTGCGTGTGCGGCACCACCGAACCGCAATTCGGACGATTCTTTGGTGAGTCCTCGACGTTCGGGTGGACCATGTTTTTTTCCGCTCTTCTTTTTTGTCCTTCTCACGAACAGGCGCACTCCAACACCTGTATGTTCTTCCAGTAGGACACCTGCAGTTTCGTCACTTCGTTCTCGTCGAAGTAAAGGATTGTCAGCTCCTGAAGTTTGCTGGGCGCGCAGCACGGTTTCGGCACGCGTTTTCGATTTTCCTTCCACAGCAGGCTCTGCAACAGCGCGTGATGATGGGCCGGATGATAGCGGGGCGGACAACGTCCCTTGCAGTAACCGGCGTCGAAGCTCTTCGGCGCGACGATAAACTCGAACCCCGGCAGATCCTTAAACATTACCGTGAGCTCGTGCCGGCAGCACTTCTTGTTGTTATCGCCCTTGCACTTGCTACGCTGTACCTCGTGCAGCGGCATCAGCTCCTCGGGAGTGGATCTCTTCCTCCTGCCGATCGACGACGACGACGACGACGACGACGACAACAACGAGGACGACGACGAACTGGTGAACACGTTCAACGTCGCGTAGGCGACGTAGCGTCGCGCCGATCTGCCGTCGTGAAGAAACTCCAACTCGAGGCCGTGATTCTCCAGATCTCGCTCGAGCCAGCCGACCGCCGCCTCGGTGGAGTCCAGTTCCAGCCAACGCGAGTTCGTCGGTTCCCGGTGGTGAAGCGTGCGCCGCAGCAGAAGACGCCGCGATACGGGAGTGCGTAGATAAACCAACGCTTCCAAATGACGCGGACGTCTGTGATCGCCTTGCAGAAGAAATCTCAGAGACGCGTGATCGACCGTGACGTCCGACGCGTGAATTGCAACGGGGAAATACAGGAAGTGACGGTGATTCCCTCCGTTCCATTCGTCGCCCGACCTGTTTCCCGGATGCTCTGTAACAAGAAACGCGCAAATCCCATTCATGCATTTATGTGGCATTACGTAAACGGAGAGTTTTTATGAATGGCGAAGTCGGAAAATTTGCGTCATCGCAAATTTCCCCCTTCTCAAAGGTGACAAATCGAGAATTGCGATTTTACATCGTTACCGATGATCACACCGAAAGATTTCAATTTGCAACAAATTGCGCCGTGCATTAACGGCATTAACGGAATTAACGCGGAATTTGCGCGAACATTGTTTCGCACGTGTGAAACAAATTATCTTATCCGCATTGAATTAAAAAAAATAAATAAATAAAAAAATAGTTTTTGTGTTGCGAGTAGACGGGAAGAAGAGGAGCGTGACGCGTATAAAAATGAATAATCATATAATGAATGAAAAAACAAATTGTCACGGAGTCGCGTGCGACACAAGGCGGAAAATTTTGTAAAGCAAAGATTGCAACCTGCGCGCACAAGTCCTTGTGCGTTAATTGATGAGAAAGGAAACTCTGGATTTCCAACTGCGGCGGGGCCGCAATTGAATTCGAACGACAATGTAAGATACGTAAGATCGAGCGCGCGCGCCAAGAGTTTTATTCGTAATCGTGACTCAGTTTCTCTCCGCTTTGTCACGATTGTCAACGACGATGTGTTGTTGCCGCGTTTGTTCTCCACCACCTTGAGATTTACAGATTACATTCAAACACGGTAAATTTAGCCCCGACGACGAGCGGAACAGTTTGGTTTCGACTATTGTTTGCCGTTTGTTGCGACGACAAGAAATCAAACTCAACCTTCCTTGACCCCTTAGACAAAACGCGTCCGAAAAAAGAAACGCGGACCGATTTGACGTCGTAAGTAACATGCCGATGTTTTGTGCGAGACGATGATAATTTCCGTTACACACATAATGTACAACGCACATTTTTTTTTTTCGTCGCGAACAAAACGTTTCGCAAAAAAAAGTTTCGTATTCCTTCGCGCGTTATATATAACCTCCTCCCCCCCTATACAACACGATCCTAAAAATCTCGTGTTGTGCGAATTCGTCACGAAGTAAACAACTAATACAAAAAAAAAAAAAAAAAAAAAAAAAAAAAAAAACAGTTGGGTTCTGAAAATGAACAAAATTATTTTATTATTTTTCTTTTGCACAACTGTCAGAAATGTGTTTATTAAGAGTATCAATAATTGATGAAATATGCATTAATGTTAAATAATGCGTGCTAATTGTTTTCTTCATCGTTACTAAGCGCCATTAAAACGAGAGCGTTTTTTTTTTTTTTTTTTGGCAAAATTTTTCTTCCGAGCAGCGGAAGATACGATCCTGATTTCTGTGCTCTACATTTTTCAAAAAACTTCTGTTATTCTACGTTTGTTTGCGTTTGCTTTGACGGATCTTTATAAATTTCGCAGTACGGAGCTAAGCGTTTTCGAAGTTCTCTCTCTTGAATTGTGCGCTTCTCTCTCTTTCAGTGAAACGGATCTTTATTTAGAAAATAGAACTCCAGCTATTTCGGCTAAAGTTTATTTGCACGTTATTTAGGATAAAATTTTGAACTTCAGGGTTTTTATTTGTGTCCTCTCTCGAAAACGTGTGTTGTAGAAATGTCGCGTCGTTACACGAGATCTTCTTCAATTCACTTAACCCGTGTTATAAGAAATCGTGTGTTGCAGAGATGCCGCGTTATAAGAGGGTTGTCTTACATATGTTGCATGAGAGGAAGAGAGAGGTAGATTTTTGGATGTGTATACAAAACCAAGTAAAATTAACAACTGCGTTTTGTCGATGTGTCTCCAACGCGTGTGTAAAAGCGCGGATATTACGTAAATAACAGGAACTGTTAAATTCCTGTCTCCCCTACCCTCTTCCCTCCCATTCTTCCGCGTCTGTGTCTCATAATTGTCTCACACGCGAATTTGCAAGCGCGCGACGCCTCGTCGTTTCCATCGCGCGCATATAGTATATATATATAGGTATCGCGCAACGAGCGCATTTCTGTTCTCTCTCGGGATCTGCACTAATCCATCCGTCGTCCGCACCAACCCACGTATATTATTGGCAGAAGGTGGCAGAAAGATTTTCACGAACCGCGTAAGCGCCGGATGGATACTCGTCGCGCATAAACAAACACGGCCGCAATCTGAGTCACGAAACGGGTATTCGGCCTTCCGACAAAATCGACGATCTTGGCATGTAAGACGCTATTGCCGATCTCGTCGCGGAGATGCTTCAGAGATTTAAAACGACGATACGGTCTTAAATTTAAACCCCCCCTTTGACGTTTGTTGCACGATGTAAATATTTAATTCGATCAAATTGCGATCAGCGCAATTTTGTTACGTACTCATTAGTTAAATGAAGTAATCGAATTGTTTATTGAGTTTACTTTCACTCTCTCTCTCTTTCTCTCTCTCTCTCTCTTTCTCTTGCTCTCTCTCGTCGCAAATAACTTTTCTACTGAAAAACGTTCCGCTGAAAAACTTTCGCGTGTTTTGAAGATTTATTGCCGACGATTACTGTACTTCGAATTCTTTTTATTTTTATCCAAAACATTATTCATTCCCTAAGTTATTGTCGGAGAAAAAATGGTTGCAAGCAAACCGATATTGTAAATATTTTCGGACGAACGTGTTATTAATACTTAGATTCTTCTCGGACGAAAATCTTGGAATTTGCATGTTCCTTTGACCGTAACCATTATATTCGGAGAAGAAAGGGGTGCGAGAATCGAATCTTCCGAGAGAAAAAGAGATAAGTGCTCGAGAGAGAGAGAGAGAGAGAGAAAAAAAATCTGACTTTCCGAGATTGTTAACAAGCTTTGAAATTTTCAGTTCTTCTCTTTTGGGTTTTTTTTTTTTTTAACAACTAGCGCTGATTAAATCTTATTTACGAGGTTCCTTAAGAAATTTCTCACGCGGCCATTAATTATCCACAATGCATTGGTGGTCGCCGTTGCGGCGCTTTCAACCGGTTTGTCACACACGTTGGTGTTTACGAGTCCCGATGTAATAATTACCGAGATTTCAAGAAAGCAACAAAGAGGGAAAAGATATGTGTGTGATAAAAGACAGAAAGAATTCCCAGTGTGTACATTATGAGAGCGCCACGTACTTCGGAGCCGGCCATTGCGCGCCGTCTGATATAACACGCTACGTTATCTGGTTTATCTGGTTTCCACTTAAAGTTTTACAATTTTCTTTCAAAACGATTAGAAGTTATCTCGGAATACTCAAGAGTGCAAAAAAAAAAAAAAAAAAAAAAACACAAAACAAAAATGGAAACACGAAGAATTCATACAAGCTAAACTCGTTTTATCTCGAAACACGCGGGAGAGAACAAACGCGAGAATATTGTCACAGCCGCGCGCGTTGTGGAAAACAGCGTTTATTTTCATCCGCATTCCGTGCAAAATTTTGCAAAAACAAACGATCGTTCGGACGACATTTTTTTTTGTCTCGAATTTTTTTTTTTTTTAATACATTCAAATCGCTCGAATATCGCTCCTATTAACACGTTTCATAACATTCGCGTAATTTCTGTCCTCGAGATTTTAATTAACACGTGAATTAGAGAGCGCAACTTTATAGCGCTATTTGATTTTAATAATTCGCGTCTTAATTATGCGTGTTAATTATCTCAAGAAATTGGGCAGAGAAAGCGAAGGTCCGCGAGACCTTCCACGGTTCGCGGCGTGCCCGGAATGCGGGCACACTGATTGCTCTTTATTTATGGGACGTCGCGCGCATTACGCGTGTGCGCGCACGGGAAGTTAAGGGCGTGTGCGCGCGCGCGACTGCCGTTCCTCATTCTGCTTGAGGAAACATTCGTGACAACAGCCCCCGACTCTTAGGACTCCCCATATATATATTTCCGAAAGGTTAATCACGTACCTCAAATAATTTACCCTTGACTAACTAACGGATCGATGCTGTTTCGTCCGTTGTTTCGGTGAGAGAAAAACGTGCGTTTTCGAATTTTTCTTTTTTGTCTCGTTTTCCCTTTCGTTTGTCTTTTTTTTTTTTTTGTTAACGCCCATTACCATAAGAATCGTTTGCTTTTTTCGGAGCGAGGGAAATAAATCGTTTCTTAATCCCATCCGTTCGCCGAGTGTCTCTGTAAATAGGCTCGCCCGTCTATTTCTGCAAACTTTCTCACGTGGTTGAATAAAATAAAACGGAATCTCACGCGCGTCTCATAGATACACGTGTCTTATTTATACACGCGGAAACGATCGAATCTTCTTTCGACGTTTTTGTTTTTTTTTTTTTTTTTAAAAATCTTCGCGTTTTTGCTCCTGTGAATTCTTCGATCGAGAGAGTAATTCGGAATCGATTATTTTCCAAGTACGAGAAAATTTATTTATTTGCACGATAAAATCCCGCGAAAATCATCTTACATTTGTAGACAAACTATAGATTTCTTCGATCGCTCCCCCGCGGGTTATTCCCAGTTTCACGGCAATCACGTTCGCCGAATTATTCGACACACGTGTAACACGCGCGTTCGTCGAAGAGTTAAAGCGGTAATTGTTTGGATTCCCTCTTAACGAAGAATTAGGCAATGAGATCGATCAGACTTTCTCGCTGTAAGGAAGATACCAAAGCAGAAGCGAACAAATTCTAGCATATCGATTTTTTTTCCCCTCCTTCCCTAAGGCGGACTCGTTAAATGAGATACGTGCAGCGTTTTTTTGCAGAATCGACGTCGAGAAACGCGAGTTTTCATGTTGCAACTGTCTGTCTATTGCCATGACACGATGAGAGAGACGTAGGAATTATAATTCATGTAACAATTTGTCTGTTAACATTAAATTATCGTTAGTATAATGAGGAACGAATAATGTTGCAACAGAAAGAGAGGGAGAGAGAGAGAGAGATTGATGTTATTTTTGAATTCTTTGATATTTTTTCTCGACGTTATTATCTCGTGAGTTTCTGCGGAATGTAACGAGGCGATATCTATCTCGCGTGTGTTCATTTACATACATAATCACACAAGTGAATATTTGATTAATTATATGTTCGTTACGATCGATTATACACAATGGCGCGCATCTCTCTCACATTTCCACGCGTCGTCATTAAACCAGTTAATTGATTGTCGCCTTCATTGTGAAACTGTCTGCGTTTATATTAGCAATTGAAACTCGCCTTCTTCTTCCACTTCTCGCTTGTTATACATTTCCTCCCCAAGAAATCCGCGTGATCGCGACAACGGGAAATAGCCGCTCACGTTACACACCGCGCGCGCGCGCGCGGTATCGAGAGGAGGTATCCGCGAATATACAACAAAGCTTCTATTCCGCAAATTGAATTCCTTCGACAAATCGATTTCTATATCCAATGTGTTAAACGCGTATATTTTTCTGAGAATCAAACGCGTATCCGGAAACCGGACGCGCGTCGAAGATGCGCATCCTGCGATGACGCGGGCCGGGCAATCGCGCGTTTCATTCAGCAGTCAGAACCTCGAACAATGAATCGGTCCAAAAATACGGTCTTTCGCACGGCCTGTTTGGCTGTTGACCAGATATCGCGCCAAATTAAACCGGCCGATAAAGCGGTCAGGAATCCACGGCATCCGGACGATTTCTGCCGTAACGCGCGAGGCATCAACCGAGGGTGGGTGGTTTGCGCGGGAATGGTGTGAGTTTACGTGTGTGTGTGTGTGTGTGTGTGTTCGCCGCGTCCGCGAACGTACGTACGTACATCTCGTCACCCGACGAAAATTCGACACAGTCCCGCGCGATAAATTTCTTCCGAATATATAACACACCGTGCCATCAAACGCGTGCCGTGCTTATTATAGACTTTATCACTCGACGCATGCTCCGAAAATAAATTGCCGCGCACACAGGTGACCCTCCTTCGCGCGCTTTATAGGCGCAAACTTCGCCGAAATTCGCGCGCCCGGAACTGGAATCCGATCAACAGCGCGCGGTAAAAGTGGGTTAATTTCGGGATACGCGGTATATATATATATATATGTAACACAAGCGGGAAATTATTTCAATGCGCGTTCAGGTGTTTTGATCGAACGCGATAGAATTATGTGTGTGTGTGTGTGTGTGTAAGATCGGAGGAAAAAAAAACCAACGGGTGTTTATCTCGCGCAGCTCAACAAGAAAATAGAAAAACTCCTCCTCGTCTCAACTATCGAGGCGAGAAACCGATATCGATCGGGCGATATATTTTCGGGCGAGAAAATCTGAAATTAGAGATCCTCTCCCCTATCCTCCCCGGATGATCTGACACACATATCGCATCATTCGAAAGAATAACCGCGGTCGCGCCGCGAATCGCGGTGTCCTGGATTTAAACCGCGATTGTCTTTTTAATCGCGAACGTCTCAAATCGCCTCGGTCGATATTTTATCCGGAAGCCCCGCGCGCTCCGGAGAGCGGATTATTAATCTCGCGTTTATATATTATCGTCGAGATATTAACGCCGACATAAAACGAGAGAATCACGTTCGTGCGCAAGTGATGTGTACTTATATATATATATACATGTTTGTGTATGCGCGCGCATCTTAAGTTCGTAAATATGAAATTCCCGTCGGGAGTTAAAATTCAACCACCGAGTTGTTTTAATCTCTCCTATATTCATATTAACTTTTTTGCGCGTCTTTCCGACTAATGAGAGTAGGTACTCTCTTTCTCTCTCTCTCTCTCTCTCTCTCATTCTCGAGTGAAGAGCACTTTGATCCAAATAAATTGAAATGTAAATCTCGAAGCGAACGTTGAAACCCGTTCGCGAAGCGTTCCGGTGAGAAGGAAAGGAAGAGACGGAGGAAAGAATCTTCCTCTTTAGGACTTCTACTCCGCACGTATCGGTTACTCGCGGCGACGGCACATTGCACAGCAGCAGAAGCAGAAGCAGCAACACTCTTCGTCGTGTCCCGTCTCGCAGATAAAGCAAGGCAGACTACTTCTTGTTCGCGCTCGGTGTGTTTCTGCGCGCGTTCTTCCCGGCGATTCGTTCTTATTGCATTCGGGAACTCGTCGCTCGGCATTCCGCCGCGGTCGGAATTTCTATTTCATAATAACACAGACACACAGAGAGAGAGAGAGAGAGAGAGTCTCGCGCGCACGCTGTTGGAACCCATCGTGCTCCGAAGAAAGACAGATAAGAGAAGAGAAAAAGAGAGAGAGAGAGAGAGAGATAAAGAGGCGCTCCGGCCCATCAAAAGAGGTCTTCGTCTTCTTCTTCTGCTTTGCGCACCTCTAGCGCCCGTTCCGCCCGGTGTATATAGACAAGTATCCACTTGAGACTGGTTTCGATGGACGGACTGACTCAAGTCCACTCGATGTACGTGTTGTACGAGGGGGCATAAAACCGCACGGTAGTCGCAGGACCGAAGCCGTCCCCGACCGCAGATGTGAGCCGTCGCCGACTTTTATCTCTTTGACCTACTATTTTCAGGACGACCGTAATTGAGCGCGCACATCCCGAGACCGAGACCCGCCGCGCCGCCGTCGCTTCTTCGTGTGTATATAGGATTTCATTAAGCAAGATTCACGTCTTAATTTATATCGGGTCGACGAGACGGGCGCGTTCCCTCGCGCGCCGCTCAGATTTCGCGGCGGATCAGGCTAATTGTCGGCGTAATTGACCGAGATCGAGTAGACGAAGTCTTGTTAGTTTTAAACGAGCTGTTATAGTGTTGTAAAGTGGGGCGAATTGAGGATGTCGCGAGCGACGACTTTGTTTGTTTCTTTTTTTTCTTTTTTTTTTTTT